GAGCCCTTCATGGGTGTAGCGACTCACATGCACTTCAAAAGATTTGAAATCAAACGAATCGTCTGGTTGTTCCCTTACAGTTCCGTACAGTTCCGATACAGCTCCGTGCAATTCCGTACCGTTCCGTACACTCACGGGGTGGATGCGTGGCAACAGACCGAGCCCTTCATGCGTGTAGCGAGTCACATGCACTTCAAAAGACTTGAAATCAAACGAGTCGTCTGGTTGTTCCGTTACAGTTCCGTACACTTCCGTACACTCACCGTACGGATGCGCCGCGCTGGGGAGAAGACGGACGAATTTTAATTATAAACCACATTGGTTAACTTTGTCGCAGACGATCGAGCGATTCTTGGCTGTGCCGTGGAGAAGATGGACTACCGAGTCTCTGCCACGTGTCGCCTGCTTTTCCCGTACATTCATAGAGAGGACACGTTGTGTTCGGGGGACAACGGGCCAGAGGAGCCTGACCAATTACTGTATTTATCAACCCGAATTATTAACTTTCTGATAACCGATTGACAGTTCCTCAATCTCTTCCACGTGTCGTCTGCATGTCCCATGCAGACGTGGTAAGGACGCGTTGTTTTACTATTTTTTTTAGAGGAGGACGGTCGCACGTCGACGTTCCAACAGCTCAATCGAACCAACCACATCGATTAATGAGCTTTCCGCCAACAGATCGACCCCTTCATTGGGTGTACAATCGTGCCCGGTGTACTGAAAAAAGCATGCGAAGAGTTCTCTCCACGTGTCATCTGATTACAGGATGCGTTGTGATCGGGGGAAGGACGGACGAATCGGTACCACTAATTAACTTTTCTTCTGGCAACCGATTTCTGCCACGTGTACCATCGACTCGGGAGCACTCAAGGATGATGGATAACTGAGTCACTCACTGCCACGTGTCGTCTGTTTCTTCCGTACACTCGTGGAGAGGATGCGATGGACCATTTCTCCGATTTCTGCATGCGTGTCATCCTTGATTGCGCAGCGGCCATTTTGCTAATTACCCTTCTCTTTCTCTGGATCGTTTCCGAATTTAACGTACGTCCCGAGAAGGACAGAGGATACGTTGTGTTCCGGGGCAGACGAGGAAAGAAACCGTATCAATCATGAAGCGGCTCAATTAAAACTCTCTGCCAACTGATGAGTGACCCGGCTCATGATTGAATCCGGATCTCTTCCACGTGTCGTCTAAATGGGTGTCGTCTACTTTCTGGCAAGAGATGATTGACACGGTTCATGATTGATGAGGATGAATCATGAACCGGACCAAATTCAACGGATGTCCCGAGAACGACAGAGAAAGACACCCATTTAGACGACACGCGGAGGGGATCTGATAGCTGTTACGATCCTGGTCATTTCCCAAGTGCAATTCACAATGAAAGACAATGCCACCAAATTGCGAAAGAAATGAAAGCACTTGCAAAGAGATATGGACCAGAGGAGA